TCTCAAAATAAAAAATAAGACTGAGGATGTAGTTCAGTGGTAAAGTGCCCCTGGATTAAATCCTCAGTATTCCTCTCCAAATTAAAAAGAAAAAAAATTAGTTATAGATGGACATAATATCTTTATTTTGTTCATTTACTTTTATGTGGTGTTAAGGATCGAACCCAGTGCCTCACATCTGCTACTGAGGCACAACCCCAGTCCCTCCCCCAAAATTGTTAAAAATTAATTTAAAACCASTGGTTCTCATAAAAAGAGAAAAAGAAAAAGAAAGAAAATAAAGAAATTAGGAATTTGGGAGAAATATGGGAAGTTAAATGTGTCAAGTTATTCATAGTTTCCTTGTTTATTCATTTGAGTTTTCATCTCTTATAGTTGATTTCTTTCACCATCCAGCCATATTATGAGAGTTCCTTGGGGTTCCAAACTTGACAGTGTCACCATTGAATGAAAAGAAGTGGTACTTTGGGATGTTTCAGTTTGAGAGACTGAGTATAACTGGAGGCATATCATTCATTCTACTTTGAAATACTTCTTCGACTATGTAGGAAGATTAAAACTATAAAAGGAGTTTTCCTTCTGTCTGTTTCTTAATGCAGTGGAGGGTTCATGTATTCAGCTTCAGGAGCAAAATTTGATTATTAAAGATTTGTTGCTAGTTCCAACTACTCGGGAGGCTGAGGCAGGTGCATCCAGCTTGGGCAACAGCAATGCCTCCATTCAAAGAAAGTTTTTAAAAGGACAAAAAACAATTATTATTTTTTTTCCTGTGTTATATGACTATCTATATTGATTCTGTTTGGTATTTATTTTTCTGAATTTTTATCCTAGGTGACATACTAATAGGTACATTTTTTTTTTTAATTCAGTCTTTAGCTAGACTGCATAGTTGGCTTTTTCCAGTGACTACATCTAAATGAATAAAGTAATGTCTTTGAATAGTGCATCTGCAGTTTGATGGAATGTATACTCTTTTCGACTCTACTGGTATCCCTCTTACACTTTGGATTGTCCCTTACTCTAGTCTTCTGTGCAACAGAGATATGATTTTTGGATCACTAAACAGAGTGAGTGAGAGAGGAGACAGTGTGGGAACAGTTTGGATTTCATTTTTGTACAGTTTTACAGTGTATTTTATACTGACCCAGGCAGAGATTTTCAAGGCATGTGGGACATAATGAAGGTAATTTCCCCTTACACTTTGACTATCCCAGAGCTGAGATATGTACTCTTTTTGGTTTGATCCGTTCAGGTAATGAAACCCAATGAAATTAAACTACTTAAGATTGATAATGAAAATAAGTGGTAGGTTGTTTGGTTTTGTTTTTCAARTAATCCTGGAGTGGATGGTTTTAGAAAAGCCAAGCTTGCCAGCTGTGGTGGCACAGGCCTATAATTCCAGTGACTTGGGAGGTTTAGGCTGGAGGATCCCAAGTTTGAGGCCAGCCAGGGCAACTTATAAAGACCCCGTCTCAAAAAAAATTAAAAAAAAGCCTAGGGATGTAGCCCTTTTTAAATGTGCTTCTGAGTTTAATCCCCATTACTGGGGGGTGGGGGAAAAGGAAAAAGAAAAGCCTAACGCAGCTTWTTTTGCATCTGACTTCATATTGTTGGTTGTAATCAGCTCTGACTTTGAGGAAGCAAGGCTGAGAGCTTTTAGAGGTAATGCACATTACTGGTAACTCAGAATGTTGCTCAGAGATTCAGCTTTCTGGATTTAATTCTTGAAGTTGGTAATCTAGGTATTCACTAAAGAGAGATGATGGAGACTAGAAATYGGACAGAACAGATTTTCATTGATAATCACTGCAAGAAAAAGCATAGATAGAATAGTTAGTAATACTTGCCTTTTTCTTTGGCCTATTTCTGCAGCAAAAAAGAAATTCCTGTTTTTAACTTTACTATCCATGAGATCCATTGTCAAAGGAACATTGGTATGTGTCCTATCTGCAAGGAACCACTTCCCAAATCTGACATGGAGATTCACATGGCTACAGAACACTGTCAGGTAAACTACCAATTACCCAAATGTTTATAAATGTGTTGTACTTGCTATTGTCCATAACTGTATCATACTTGCTAATTGCACAAATGTCAGTGGTCCTGTTGTCATTATGTCACTTTATTGATTTTTACTTCTTATCCTAGGTGACATGCAAATGCAATAAGAAGTTGGAGAAGAGACAATTAAAGAAACATGAGGTTAGTCTTCTTGTACTATGAGGGGAGTGAGAGAACATGGGGCCAGTCCTACTGAGATTACAGAGCCACTGGCACAATGGAAACCAGTTTGATGATGTCTTTGTTCTCTACCAGCTCACATGTATACTGCCTCTTATAGCCTACTGGAAACTCTAGCTGTTGCCTGATTTGGCGGCCTGGCTGTTGTACTGTCTGGCTGCTTAGTCTTCAGAGTCTCTCCTTTTGGAAATGATACTTATCATTTCTGTTGGGGTTTGGTTATTGGCAGTCTTATTGAGTAAACTAAGCCTGGTGTTGCCAATGTAGGGTAATCTATTCAGCCTGCCTTACATGATGTAATTTCATTATGACTTCTTGATCACTTGCATAATATGCTTTTTTTAAAAAAATAAAAATTTAATTAGTTGTTGATGGACCTTTATTTATTTATATGTGTTGTTGAGAATTGAACTCATTGCCTCACACATGCTAGGCAAGCGCTCTACCACTGAGCCACAACTCCAGCCCCAACATACATGCTTTTTTTTTTTTTTTTTTTTTTTAAAGAGAGTGAGAGAGGAGAGAGAGAGAGAGAGAGAGAGAATTTTTAATATTTATTTTTTAGTTCTCGGCGGACACAA